TTTTTTTTTTTATGTGGGGGGTGCACACCCGGGTGTGGGATTCGGGTGTGCACCAATCAGTGTCCTTTTCAATTAGATATCACACCCTGCTTTTTAGCATCACACACACAGGCACATTCCATCGGAACATCAGATATCTGACATATCAATAGATTCTTTTCTTTCTTTCTTTTTTTTTTTTACTGCCTTAATTTATATATATAGATTGCCAATATAAGCATCAACAATTGTTTATTTATTACCTCTAAGGCCATAACATCTGCCGATGATAAGTAATTACTAACATTAACATATATTAGAAATTGATAGGTCCCTGGCAATTGATGATACTTGCGGACCACTTGCCACTATTGACACTTCCCGTACCAGGGCCTTTGTTGATATTCCTTTGTTGATATTCCTGCCAGATGAAAAATCTAGAGAATTAGAAGAACATAATTGGATGAAAGCTATGTATTTCTCTGTATAGAATACATTGCTTGTATGGAAGTTAATGACAGAAGTTTAGCCTAAAACTATTCTTACATAGAAGGAAATACAAATCAAGAAAGCAAAAGAATAAATCTGTCATAATGATTGATTGCTTCTTTGTCAACAAGCTTGATTTTCTCCGTGATACCAACAAGCTTGATTTTCTCCGTGATGCTCTCCTATACTCCCCCTCAAGTTGGAGAATGAAGGTCTCGAATTCCCAACTTACATAACAGATGAAGGAAGCGATCACGGCCTAAGGCTTTGGTAAAGATGTCTGCTGGCTGTTCCCGTGAGGAAATATGTGCAGTAAGGATGTCTTTCTGTTGTATGCGTTCACGAACAAAATGGCAATCAATCTCTATATGTTTTGTTCGTTCATGGAATACAGGATTATTGGCAATATGCAGAGCTGCTCGATTGTCACAGTAAAGTGTCATTGGCTTTGAGTGAGAAACTTGAAGATCACATAGTAATGTCTTTAACCAACTGAGTTCACTGGCAGTGGCAGCTATTGCTTAGTACTTCGCTTCAGCCGATGATCTAGACACTGTGACTTGTTTCTTTGATTTCCATGAAACAGGGGAATTCCCAAGGCAAACGAAGAATCCGGTTGTGGAATGTCTTGTGGCTTGACATCCAGCCCAATCTGCATCACAGTATGTAATAAGGTGCAATGGACTTGAAGATGAAAGGAGTATTCCCTAACCTGGAGAAGACTTCACATATCTGAGCACTCTCATGGCTGCATCAAAATGTTCTTGCTTTGGTTCTTGCATGAATTGACTCAATATACCAATTGAATAACTCAAATCTAGTCTTGTAATGGTTAAGTAAAGAAGTTTGCCCACTAATCGCCTGTACTGTGAAGGATCCGAAGCAAGGGGCCTTGAAGCAATTGCTAAACTGTGGTGTTGCTCCATAGGAAATGGACTTGGCTTGGCTCCAATCATCCCTGTCTCTGTTAGGATGTCTAGAGCATACTTTCTTTGGCTTAAACAATTCCTTCACTTGTGCATGCCACTTCTATTCCAAGAAAATATTTCAATGGCCCAAGGCCCTTGATGGAGAATTTTGTATGCAAGTATTGTTTCAATGCCTTGATTCTTGTACTATCATTTTCAGTGATAATTATGTTATCGATGTAAATCAAGAAAGCAACAAAGCTTTTTCCTTTGGTGGATGTGAATAGAGAATAGTCTGCATAAGATTGCTTAAAACCAGCAGCTTGTAGTGAATTGGTGAGCTTTTCAAACCAATTTCAGGAAGCTTGTTTAAGTCCATAGAGGGACTTGTGTAATTTGCAGACTCTATTTCATTTTTGGTGAGAAAACCTTATGGAATCTTCATATAAACTTCCTCATGCAAATCTCCCTGCAAGAAGGCATTATTCACGTCTAACTGGTGAAGTTCCCAATGCTTAATAGAAGCAACAGCAAGTAGAAACCAAATAGTGACTAACTTGGCAACAGGGGCAAATGTTTCATGATAGTCCAATCCTTCTATTTGAGTAAAGCCCTTTGCCACAAGTCTCGCCTTATACCGTTCCACTGTTCCATCTTGATTGTACTTGATTTTATAGACCCATTTGGAGTCTATGGCCTGCTTGCCCAGAGGTAATCTTTCAAGTGTCCAAGTTCCGTTTTGCTCAAGAGTAGTTATTTCCTTTCTCATAGCTTCTCGCCAATGTTCACTCTTGACAGCCTGGGAAAATGTTTTTGGCTCATCTAAGGAGGTGATGGCCGCTAAATAAGCTTTGTGATTAGGGGAAAAGGAATTGTATGACAAGTGATTAGAAAGAGGATAAAGAGTACCTAAGTTATCTGACTGGAGTGTGACTTGATTAGGATCAACAGATTGTGACATGCTGCAAACATAGTCATCTAAATGCCACAATGCACGTCTTTCTCGTTGTGGCCTCAAAGATTGCACAACTCAGTTTCCTGAGTCTGTAGCAGGTTGTGAATCAATTGTTGGTTGTGTATTTTGAGTTTCCTCCAATGGCTTATGTTGGTCCATGGATTCAAGTTGGTGAGTACTCTCCTTAGACTTGTCATGGGAATTGTCGCTGGTTAAGGGATGTTCTTCAAATGGCTGAACCATGATAGTAGGATTAGATTTGCCTTGATGGTGCTCATTTTCTTTAGACTGATAAGGAAAAATATCTTCATAAAAATGCACATCTCTAAAAGTAAATATTTGATGAGTTTCCAAATCATATAATCTGTAACCTTTCTTTCCTAAAGGGTAGCCTATAAAAATGCATTTAGATGCTCTGGAATCAAACTTTCCACGATTTTGGGAATGATTGTGGGCATAAAAAAGGCAACCAAAAACTTTCAAAGAATCATAGCAGGGTTGTTTGTTAAACAGCTTTTCAAAGGGGGTGAGTCCTGAAAGAATTGGTGTGGGAGTTAAATTAATCAAATATGTGGCTATAAGTACACACTCTCCCCAAAAACTTAGAGGTAAGTTGGCTTGAAATCTAAGTGCCCGAGCTACCTCAAGCAAATGATGATGCTTACGCTCAACGACACCATTTTGTTGTGGTGTGTTCACACAAGAAGTTTGTTGTAAAATGCCATTTTTGAGACAAAAATCTTTTATAAGCCCTTCAGTAAATTCCTTTCCATTGTCACTGCGAATTTGTTGGACATGAGTATGGAATTGAGTTTCAATCATTTGACAAAAATTTATCAAATATGAAACAGCTTCAGATTTATGTTTCAAAAGATAAACCCATGTGCAACGAGAGAAATCATCAACTATAGTCAAAAAATAATGAGCACCTGTATTAGAGGAAGTGGCATATCTACCCCAAATGTCATAATGAAGTAAGGCAAATATATGAGTTGAAGTATTATTACTAATAGGAAATGGTAATCGAGTTTGTTTGGCTCTATGGAAAATGTCGCAAATATGCTTTATTTGAGGAGAACAAGAACAAAGGGGAAGGGATTTTGGATAAACATTCAGTAGAAATGTGCCCAAGTCTTCGATGCCACAATTCATATGACGTGCTCTGCTTTTGTTTTAGTTGACTGGTTATTGCAACATGTCCAAAACTGCAATAATACATCCCTTCATGAAGCCTACCCACTCCAATCAACTTCTTCGAGGTAAGGTCTTGAAAAACGCAAAAGTTAGGAAAGAAGATCACAACACAACCAAGTTGTTTGGTTATCTCATTGACTGATAAAAGATTACAGGTGAATTTTAGGACGCATAAGGCATTGTCTAAAGTGATTTCATTGGTTAAAATTATTTTTCCCACATGTGATGTCTCCAAAGAGGTTCCATTGGGTATACGGATAGGTGAGGTATAAGGTTTAGCTTTGGTAAATGCAGATAGGTGTGGAGTCATGTGAGCTGAAGCCCCACTGTCAATGATCCAATGAAAAGATGAGTTTTGTGCCTTACCAGCATGGTTGGCTAAGTGATTAAGGATGGTATTACCCTCGAGAAGCGAGATGAGTTGGTCATACTGCTCTTTGCTCAACCCGGAAACTGGAGACTGATTTGATAACTCCTCTGTGGGCTCATATGCTGCATTAGCTACAAAGGCATGGTCTTTCTCTCATCCTGTCTTTTGTGCCTCACCCTTTGTCTTGGTTTTGCATATCCCAGGCTTCCAATTCACAAGATACCCAATGATCTCATAGCATCTTTCTTTGGTGTGCCCAAGCCTTTTATAGTGATCACACCGTGACCTTCATGATGGTCCCTTTACTGCAAGAGCTGTGGCTTCTATATTTGGACCCTTGGATGCTGCCACTGTTTGCTGCTTTTCTTCTTTTGTTACCATTGCATACACCTTATTTAGGGAGGGAAAAGGATCCATGCTTAATATTTGGGATCGAGTTGTGGAAAAGTTTTCATTCAATCCCATTAGGAATTGGTGGATTCTCTCCGTCTCTCGAGCCTTTGCATATTCTTTTGCTGCTCCGCATGTGCAGCCACAAGTGCAGACAAGTACTGGTTCATGTGCCTGTAACTCATCCCAAATTGGTTTTAGTTTGGTAAAATAAGCAGATACTGACCTTGTTTGCTGTGTCAATGTTGCTAATTCGAGTTTGAGTTCATGCACACGAGATGCATTCCCTTGAGTAAACCGTTCCAGCAGTTCATTCCAAATTTCTTTTGTTGTCTCTACATAAGCCACACTGTCTTGTAGCTCTTTAGTGACTATGTTAAGGATCCAAGAGAGCACCATAGAATTGCACGTCATCCATGCTTGGTATTGAGGTGAGGTTGTCTCCGGCTTCTCAAGAGTTCCATCTACTAATCCAATCTTATTCTTGGCATAAAGAGCATTTTGCATTGCTCTCCTCCAAGTATGATAGTTGTCCCCATTCAGCAAAGTTGTTACAAGAATCCTTCCTGGATAATCACTTGGATGGAGATAGTAGGGTGAATCCTGATTTGTGGGTTTGAGGGTTGTGTTTGCTCCCCCTGTCGTACCAGATCTGGTCTTTTGATCCCCATCTGCCATTGCTTAAATATGGAGTGCAGCAAAAAAAAAAAAAAAAAAACTTGCAATTATTGTTCAAATATGCTAGCGCAGCAAAAACTTGCTGTCAAAGCTAGAAATTGCAGCAATGACTTGCTGTCAATGAGCCCCTTGCTCTGATACAATGAAAAATCTAGAGAATTAGAAGAACATAATTGGATGAAAGCTATGTATTTCTCTATGCAGAATACATTGCTTATATGGAAGTTAATGATAGAAGTTTAGCCTAAAACTATTCTTACATAGAAGGAAATACAAATCAAGAAAGCAAAAGAATAAATTTTTCATAATATTGATTGCTTCTCCGTCAACAAGCTTGATTTTCTCTGTGATGCTCTCCTATACCAGATGGGACATTCGCTTCAAAATCATCTTTACTCAGTTTGAAGATGATCTCTGCACATTTTCACAATTATTTGACTAACAGATCTCTGCGCGTTCCAGAGGTTCTCCGTTAGCCCAAAAAATTAATAATAAATAAATAAACAAACAAACAAACAGTGTAATTAAGTTTTTTAGATAGCCAATCACCTTGCCTTCGTCGTCAAACCTGTTGTTATTTCTTGATGTTTTCTCCATTGGGTTTGAACTAAATATATGTATTAACTGTTTTTCTTGATTTTTTTCTGTCTTGGTTCACTCCCTGAGCAAAACCTAGGAATTTGCACCCTTATATAGATCTCCGAAGATACCCATATTTATTTTCATTCATAGAAAAACTAGTCTTTTATTAATACAACATTGCGGAGCCCAAAAGAATTATACCTTGCACTTACCGTCAAACCATCAAAGCAGCCGCGGAGGAGATGGGGACATTGAAAAATAAACCATGTTAAAATTTTAAGAGGTTAGACGTTAGTGCTGTGCAAGTTGTCAACTTAAATTTTGTATGGGGAATTTCTCCAAAATTTCATATTTTAATTATTAATTTTAAAAATTAATTGTTAAATTAAAAATTCTACTCATAAATTATGTATATTAATTTATTGATATAATATTCATAACCAATTAGTCAAAGAAATTCTATTTATTGATGGAAAAATTATTGGTACAGTATCTTATTCAATATACGTTTCAACATCTGTTCAATTTAACTATTAAAATATAATATAAATACAATTGATTTAGTCAATTTTTTAAATTTTATAGTATAGTTATACCATTAAATTTGTCAAATTTTAATTTTAAATAAAAAATTAATAACTTCTTAATAAGTATTTTCAATTAAAAGATGTATTAATTATTGTTCTTACTTATGCGTATTTACGGTGTTAAATTTTTGTATAAATAATAAACTAGTTAAATCTATTAAATCAATCCAAAATTTAATATATGTAATTTATATGAATAAAATTTTTAATTAAAATATTAATTTTTAATAATATTAAAAAAAATAAGTTTTTGATACATATCCTTTAAAAAAAATTAAAGACAACACAAAATATTTTTTAAAAATTTTATAGTTAAAAAAATTCAATATTTTAAAATTATATATGTAATATTAATATTGATATTAATGTCAATTTTTACATTTTTTATATAATTTAGTAATTAAAAAATATATTTATTGAATCATTCACATATATTCATAGTATATTGGTTAAAAAAAAAATAAGCACGTGTTTTTACCCATTGGGACAGCGTAAGATTCAATCAGAAAAGTTTCGAAGAACGAAGAATTTTTGTTTTCAAACAAAATTACTAATTTTTTATTCTCTCTTTTTTTTTTAATTGACATAATCCTTCAACTTTATGCTACTTATATAATAAATAAATAATGATTAAATTTTTTTTTATTTTAAGTAACAATATTTAATAAAAATTATACATAAAAAATTTTCAAATATAATCTATTTATTATATAACATTATTTAGTTAAATTTTATACAAAAATTAATTGAAACAGTTAAAAAGATAAAATAAAATAGAAAAGAAGAAGAAGAAGTATACATTACCCATTTCCATTTGAGCCGCGTTTTCTTGACTACAATATTTAGGCCGGTCTGGGAGTGGGCAAATGGCCGGTTACCGAACGGCTAGTCGAAAAACCACACCATAAAAATGAATCCAGGTTGACTTGTTTGATAATTGGGCCCCATCTAGCGATTGCGGTCGATAATCGTAATTATTAGGTTCGGGCTTGGGTGTGGAGGCCCAATACCAAAATCCGGTTATGAGCCTCTAGCCCACCAAAAATCATTTTTATTAAAAGAATTATAAAATTTCATTCCCTTTCTCCTCTCTCTTTAATCTGATTCCTTTCCTCTTTGAGCTCTACACTCCAATTTGATTTAAATGCCAAACACATGTTCCCTTTCTCACCACACCCTACATTCATCATGAATTAAGATTATGTTTGGATAA